TAGGTGATTCGCAAAATAGTAATAATGGGAAATGTTAAAATAAGTATTTTAAAAATGTAACCTTACTTTTCCTCAGTCCCAATCCTTTATAGGGATTTTGTGACACATTAAATTTTCATACCTTTTTACAAGTCCCTTCCATTCCTCTATATCCTGGGCTAGTTGTTCGGCTTTATGTAACCCTCGATTGATCAGTATTTCATCCAAGCAACGGCTTCTAGATATTCTTCTTGGTTTTTTCCTTTAACTCTGCCCTCGATGATCAGTTTTCCACTGTACCTGTTCTTCTTGCATCACACAAATTGCACCAGGTTTTGATCTTCACCGAAAATCATCTCTCAACTCTCTTTATTCATACAGCCCAATTACAAGACAAGAAAGCTAAGCAATCAGTTCAAAGACAACTGAACGAAAATTTAATTTGGGAAAATATTGATGAAAACGTCGATGAGGGCTTAAACAAAATCGTAACAACAGTAAAAGAAATCTGAGAAATTTACAAGGCAGGTCAAAGCAGACTTGGATGACAGATGACATATTGGATTTGATGGAACAACGGCGACTAACGAAAAACAACGAAACACTTTACAACAGCATACAAAAAGAAATTCGACGTAAAATACGAGAAGCAAAGAGTCAACATCTAGCCAAACAGTGTCATGACATTGAAGAACTTGAAAACAGATCCGACACGTTTAACATGTATAAAAAAGTGAAAGAAGCGGCTGGTATCTTCAATAAGAAACAAACCACATTGCTACAGGATGAACATGGTAAAGTAATAAAGTAGAGGACAAACTTAAAGAATGGGAAAATTACGTCACGAACCTATTCGAAGACGATAGGAGTAGTTCACCTCCCGATATTACTAACTGCGACGAACCCCTAATAACACGCTCTGAGGTTATAAAAGGTTATAAAAGCCATACAAACATCAAAAGATGGCAGAGCGACTGGTCCTGATGAAATTCCAACTGAAATATACAAGCTTATAAATGATAGCAATGTTTTAGAGGCTATAACTTTGTTTTTCAATACTACTTATACCAGCGGACAACTACCTAATGGTTTGTCTAATTCACTGTTTATAGCTCTACCTAAGAAGACAACAGCAAAAACATGTGCTAATTATAGAACCATCAGTTTGTTAAACCACTTATTAAAATTTTTTCTGAAGATAATACATGGTCGTATCTACAATAAATGCGAGGAATACCTGGATGACAGTCAGTATGGTTTCCATAACGGGTTTGGAACGAGAGAGGCACTGTTTGGAATGAACGTACTTGCTCAAAGATGTCGAGATATATCTTTAGACATATACTGTTGTTTTATTGACTTCCAAAAGGCATTTGATCGTGTTAGCACTCTATATTGATCGAAACTCTAAAAGACATTGGCTTGGACGACAGAGATGTTCGAATAATTGCAAATTTATATTGCAATGCTTTTTAACGTTTAACCTGTTAAACATGTATGTTAAACCTGGTATGGAATCACAGGCTCTCAATATTAAAAGAGGAGTACGCCAGGGATGCCTCTTGTCACCCCTGCTTTTTAACGTTTAATCCGAAAGAATTTTCAGAAAAGCACTTTCTGAAAAACAAGAAGGGATACTTGTGAACGGCGAACTCATCAATAATTTGCGATATGCGGATGATACAGTACTCCTAGCTTCTAGTCAAGAAGATCTGCAAACACTACTTGATAGTGTCGTTGAGAGTTGTAGGGAGGCAGGTCTGGATTTGAACATACGGAAAATCAAAATATTCGTAATAAGTAAATAACAGCATATAAAACCGTCTATATATGTAAATAATACCAAACTTGAGAATGTTGATAAAATCGTTTACCTTGAACAGCAATTAAATTGTAACGCAGAAAGTCACTGTGAAATTAGATCTAGAATGTAGCAGGCTAGAGCCGCTTTTAGAAGGATGTCCAAGGTGTTATGTAACAGAGACCTAAAATTGGCATTAAGGATCCTACTTCGCTGTTGCGTGTTCTCGGTCTTACTTGGGTGTCTTACTCGGTGTCGAGTCCTGGACTGTGAATAAAATCGATCTAAATCGCCTTGAGGTTTTCGAAATGTAGTGTTATAGAAGAATTTTAAAAGTTTCCTGGGTGGAGAAAATTCGAAACTCCACAATACTAGAACAGATCAGCAAGACTACTGAGATCATAAAAAGCATCAAGCAGAGAAAGCTAGAGTATTTCGGACATGTAATGAGAGGTCCCAAATATAGGTTGCTACAAAATATCATACAAGGAAAAATAGCAGGCAAACGCAGTCCAGGACGAAGAAGAACCTCATGGTTGAAGAACTTGCGAGATTGGTATGGTGTTGATACAAGCATCCTATTTAGGGTGGCAGTGAATAAAATTAAGATAGTTATGATAGTAACCAACGTTCTGAAAGGACATGGTACATGAAGAAGAAGAACTCTTAACAGAATATGTAAAGCCTAGCAACAGGTTACTAGCGCCATCACAGATGTTCTTGCAATATTAAGCCTTCTATGTACCTTTAAGTAGCATCCTCCTTCATTTGTTGTGCGAAACCCTAGGTATACGAACCTATTTACTACTTCGAACAATCTCTTTAATGTAATGAAGATTGTTTTGTGCTCTATCTACTATCATGATTTTTTCTTACTCCTTACAGACGCTTTGTTTTCTCCTCTAAACGATTCAACGATATTTTCTATTGCTGATAGTTGAAAACCCACAGACGATATTTTAGCAAAAACGAGCATTTGAAACACGTCATCTTTAAAATAGACCTTGTATCGTTATGTAAGTACTGCTTATATTATTTTTATATGAATTACCTTTACATTCAATGAAAAACCACCCCCCTCAATTTTAACTAAGTAATACTGGAACCCTAAGTAATATTGGTATCTTTTGTACCATACCTGATGTAAGGTTTGGTTGAATTAGTTTCTTACTAATTGTTGCTTACCAAATAGATTATTGTGGAAGTCAAGATTGAAGGTAGAAGAGGTTTGGATAGAAAGAAGAAATCCTGGCCGAGAAACTTGAGAGAATGGTTTCAAATACCAGAAGCTGCGAACATAATACATGCGGTACAAAACAGAGAAACCTATCGTTTGATGGTCGCCAACCTTCGGTAGGAGACGGCACATAAAGAAAAAGAACTAAATAAATAGATTGTAATTAAGTCTGTCATTTATTTCTACTACCCAGTTTGAAATGGACTCACACGAGCAAATAATTAATTATTTTAAAAACTATCCATTTCAAAACACAGTCAAAGACAACATTCCTAGTGAACAACCGGGAATTTATGAAATATTCTGTGCAAACTGTCCCTCCCATCTTATACAGCTTAAACCAATCGTAGAATTCAAAATATGTTTTATTTTGAACTATATATTACGGTTTAACTCATTTTTGTCATATAGTATACTCGATAGCTAGTCTATAAAAATGTTTTGGTCGATTATCTTAAATGATTGCGATTGTTATCACATGAAATCTTTAGTAGGTTACTGATTAAAAGATCGACTCATTCATATGGACATGGGCATTGACTAGACGACTAAAAAACAAGTCTAGAGTTGAAAACAGGCGAATCATACTCAGGTGTGTCCATATGTCACAAAAATTTTCCATTAGTTATTTTAATTCACTCATAGTAAAATTTCTTCATACAAAAGAAACCAAAAAAATATGCTAGTGTTTATTTTTTCTAAAAAGAAGAAAATAACTAACGTTTTTATGAAGTGTACAAATTAAATAAACGTAATTTAGCACATTTTCGTTTTTCAAACTGCAATTAACAGATAAAAACCCTGCCATGCAGTTTGAAGTGAATCTTTTTAGTTAAAAAATCAAATTTGTTTTACTATCGTTGCCGATTGAAATATAAAACACGATAACCACTCGAAAGTTACAACTAAAGACAAACATAACGATTAGAAAAATTATCATACCAGCATTTAATTTTAATTAAATTTTAAGGAACGCTAGGTCAAAGAGCCCATGAACATTAGTAAAATCGATTTGCAGAAAGTACCTGGCTGGATTCAGGCCACCGTAAAGTAGGCAATCACACGATATACTGCTGCGAAGTTTGCGGAGTGAATATTCAATAAATAGTTCAAAGTTGTGTAATGAGGTAGTATTACTAAAGCCCACAAAAAAACAAGAAATCAATGTTCTACTTAAGATCACATGTCCTTAAGCCTAAAGTGCACAAGGTAGTTGATAACAATATTGTAAGACATTTTGGACAGGTAATAAGAAACAATAAAAGAGACCGTTTTATTTAGTTCTGCCAAGAAATGGATGTGACTGTTACCTTTTTCTAATTAATTCTTCGAAGAATTTACACCTGCAAATTTTCAGCTGACCGTTCTCGAAACGTTATCAGAAATTATATTGATTATATCTTCATTAAAAATTAATTAAAAACCGCCAAAAACATATCCGGAGTAGATGTTCCTTCTGTGTATAATCCTTTAATACAAAGAAACAACCGTGGATGGCAGATGAAAAAATAGGATATACTAGAAAATAAGGTGGTAAATGAGGAGAGCAGCTTGCCAGAGGAGATAGCCACAAGAAAAGGTGTACGACAGGAATGTATATTTCCCCCATTTCTCTTTAATCTGTACTCGGAAAACATCTTCGCATGGTTATTTTAAAGCTACATCTACATCAGTTACATCATACAGGTAATAGGGCAGGAATCATGATCATCGGCAAAACAATTAATAATATCAGATATGCCGATAATACAGTCGTTCTGGCCAGCAGCCTGCCGGAACTACAGACGACATTGTAGCATGTAGCATGGTCTATATATGAACATCATAACGAATCTTAAGGTTTTCTCCAAATTACAAACATAAGCTGTCTTCCGAATACATGACAGAAACGTTGAACAGGTGTCATCCATCAGATAGCTGGGTGCACTAATGAATAGTATTTGCAATTCGACAAAAGAGGTCGTATCAAGAATTGAACAGGTTAGGGAGACGTTTATCGGAATGAAAAACTTGTCCATCAGACGGAATCTAAGAGCTGATACTTCGAATCCGAATACTGCGCTGATTTATATTACCAATTCTTCAATACGGTTGTGAGAGCTCGATCCTAGAAAAATGCATCGAAGCTTTTGAAATGTACCTTTATACAGAACAACAAACACCGAAGTTCTAAATATAATGCAGAAGAATCAGAAACTGATGCCAACGATCAATAATAATAGTCTTCCTTTATATCCCTAGCTAGCGGCTTTTGGGATTATATTAGAGTAGTCTCCTATCTCTTGGATCTCTACAACCATGAACTCCACCAACTGTTCAAAGAGGCACCGACCGATCTCAGAATTCGTTAAACTTCGGAGACTTCGATGGGCTGGTTATGTAGTGAGAATGGAAACTGAGAGATTGCCAAAAAAGAGCCCTAGATAGTAAAATACAAAACGCAAGACCAAAAGGAAGGCCACGGAAAACGTGAAAAAAATATGACTTTTATTGATACAAGAATGATACATAACAAACAAAAACAAGTCTGGCTAATTGGCTCTGCCAAAGCCATTTTTCAGAGAAAGAGAACAAAAAAGAATGATACATTAAAACAAGAGCATCAATGACGTACCAAACAACTGGCATACAGGAAGTAAAAGGGGTATCTATGGCATATAATTTAAATTGTTTTACATGGCATATAATTTAAATAAACGTTTATGTTTGTCAAATGTTACTTTCGATTTGTTAAAAAATATTTAAAACAAACATTCACATCGTAAATTAGTTTCTTGCACTTTCTAATTCGATAAAATATATAATTATGAAAAGTGTTAAAAACTAATAGCTAAATGCACCATCGAAGCAGTTCTAAAATTGCTAATAAAAAGATGCAGCACATTTGATAGACTGAACTATAGCATCGTTCCATAGAAAATACATAAAAGAAAATGCAAAAAACTAAAATACTATCACATGATACTTAATTAGAAAACTAATCCAGCTTTCCCTTCTGAGTATTGAACTTGGACTTAACTGGATGATACTTGCCAAACTATTAGGTGACTCAGATCACCAGATCGGATCGGATTGTCTCCAGCCTGTGCTTCTTCCGACACACCTATCTCGGCGTTACTTATCATGCTTTCTTCCATTTCATCACCTGTTAAAAAATAATCAAATAAAGCATATAAAAAATTATTTTCAAGGTATTTGTATTTTTAACCAACAGCATTCCACCGCACAGGAGATATTCAGAAATATAAATCCAAAGACATAAAAAATACATACAGGGTGTTTCAAAAAAAGGTAACCCCGTCTCTAGGGTAGGTAAAAAACTAAAAAATAATTGGGGTTTATTTAGTAAAAAATGTTTGTAACGCCATCCGTTTTCAAAATACAGGGCGTTGAAAAAAAAATTTTACGCATTTTTTACGATTTTGCCGAAACTACTGGCAACATTGTAATGAAATTTTATACGAATATGTTTTGGAAGCTGATACATCCCATGAATTTGTTTTTATATCTGATTCTCATAGAGGGCGCTAGTTACACGGATCGTACTATTAGTCAATATAACTTTTTTATGGGTATAATTATTAATCAAAATTTCAAGTAAACTTAAACATTCAATTTTACACGAAAAAGGTACTCTTGGTAAAACTCGATACTGTGTATTGTTTTCGTAATATTTTGATTTGAAAATTATGAAGTAATAATTGATGCTGGTATAAAATAGTTAGTGATTAAACAAAACTCACAAGAAGAAAATAAAATTAATGACTAAGAACATAAAATAAAATTTAATTACAGTAAGTGTTCAAAATGCCCTACGTTTTCGATAATACACAAGTCTATTATTTTTTCTAAAGATTCCATTAACCTTCTAAACGGTAGGGGATCAGCTATGATGTCATTAAATTGACGTTGAATTCTTTCTTCCAATTCTTGGTATGAATTTACCTCAGTAGCATAGACTTTTTCCTTAATATACGACCAAACTGCGTAGTCCAAAGGGTTAAAATCGCATGACCGAGGAGGCCAATGAATCGGAGCTTCTGCACCTCTACCAATCCATCGATTCGGAAAATGATTACTCAACCAATTACGACACCTTCTATCAAAGTGTGGTGGAGCTCCATCGTGCATAAAAAATAAAGATCTTCGCTCGTTTAGCGTTAAATCTTCTAGTATCTCGAATAAGGCATTGTTTAAAAAATCAAGATACATATCACCATTTAAATTTCCAGGTAGAATATGATAACCTATTAATTTGTTACCTAAAGTTGCTGCCCAAACATTAACTGTAAATGAGTGTTGGTAATGTGATACCGTTTTGACTCGTGGATTCTCATCACACCAGTAGTATGCATTATGGGAGTTAAACATACCTTGTCGCGTAAAGGTGGCCTCGTCCGTAAAAAGAATGCATTTTAAAAAAATTGGATTGTGGGCTGGTAGACGGTAGATCATCTGGCAAGAGCTCTTGGACTTGTCTGTAATGATAAGGATGTAATTGCTGTTCTTTCAGTATCCGCCAAGTACTTGAAGAAGAAGCATTTGTTTGTCTTGCTATATTCCTTACGCTAACTGTTGGATCTTGATCAAGTAAATTTAAAATATTATTTTCTTTATTAATTGTTCTTGTTGTTCTTGGTGTACCAGAATTTATTTTATTTGACCTCACATTCCCAGTTTCTCGACAACGTCGTTCAACGGCTCTAAATGTTTTTTACTTGGTAAGTTTCTTCTAGAAAACTTTTCTGCATAACGTGTCACAGCTGCACTAGAACATCCTAAATATTCGCCTAAGGTTAATAACATGTCAGTGTATTCAATATTTGAGTACATTTTGATTTGATTTTACAAATAACAAGGTTTCAAAACTCTAATTATTGTTGATTTATCGTAATAATCGTAATTATCAATAAATGTCAGATTTCCATGGTACACTTGGAGAAAATAGAGGTATACCTATTAGAACTTAATTCATTACTACCAGCATCAATTACTACTTCATAACTTTCAAATCAAAATACCCGAAAACGGTACACAGTATCGAGTTTTACCAAGAGTACCTTTTTCGTGTAAAATTGAATGATGTTTAAGTTTACTTGAAATTTTGATTAATAATTATACTCTTTAAAAAGTTATATTGACTAATATTTAGTACGATCCGTGTAACTAGCGCCCTCTGTGAGAATCAGATATAAAAACAAATTCATGGGATGTATCAGCTTCCAAAACATATTCGTATAAAATTGCATTACAATGTTGCCAGTAGTTTCGGCAAAATCGTAAAAAATGCGTAAATTTTTTTTTCTTCAACGCCCTGTATCTTGAAAACGGATGTCGTTACAAAAATTTTTTACTAAGCAAACCCCAATTATTTTTTAGTTTTTTACCTACTCTAGAGACGGGGTTACCTTTTTTTGAAACACCCTGTAGAACCATAACTGTTCTATATATTACCAAAATGTAAGATTAATAAATCCTTCTGAAGAAAAATGAGGAAGGTTAATATTATTGATGATCGCATTGTTTGTACTAAAGTAATTTCGGAGCATACTTCAAGGTAAAGTGCATGGGAAAAGAGGTCCAGGACGGAGAAGAATATCCTGGCTGCATAACCTGCGAAAATGGTTTAACTTTTTTCAGGGCAGCAGTCAACAAAGTCAGAATAGCCATGTTAGTGTCCAACATCCGTAACGGATAGGCACCATAAGAAGAGAAGAATTTTGGTATATTGTATTCGGGATTTATAAGCACTGGTCTGGAATTATTGGATCGGAACAAAAAAAAAACGAACATTTAGTTTTTTGTGGTTCATCTGTTCATTCAGGGATTCAGACAAAACTGCAACTCATAAAGAAAAACTAATCATGGATTTGGATCCAGCATTAAAATAGCGTAGAGAAATATTATGAAACTGAAAGTTTTTACGAGAATAAAAGACATTCACTCGTAGACTATGAAAATTAATTGGAATTCTTTTTATTTGTATATAAAATTTAACTTAAAACACTACACTACAGTAATTTTGATAACGGATTCTTTGTCTACATGAAAAAAAAAACAATCTAAATATGTAATACGGAATTCGTCAAAATAAACAGTACCGAAATTTAGACAGCTGTGAAATTACGCACATAATACGTATTTATTTGATTGGGATTTTGTCATTAACTGTCATATTGTAGCATGTTGAATTTCTTGAATTTAAAACTTATGACGAGATATGCTTATCGTAATAAATTATGTTTGGGGTTAGAGTATTCATACGTTTCCATAAGCGAATACGTTTTCTTTTAAACTACTTCATTCAAGTGTTAATCTCACATAATCCCTCTCAAAATTTTAGTGGTTTTGGCTCCTAATTTAGTTAAAGCATTATTATTTTCTCGAGGGAACAAATATTTTGAACAAAACTAACTTTCCTTCCCACAACTTAATTAGCTTAGGTCTAATTTATAAAAAAATACCAAGTCCAATTTTCCTGGACTGCTCTAAGATTTGTCGGTTCTGCCTGCTTGCCATTATGTTCGGTTTCTGGCAACGTGTTCCTATTTTCTGATCTCTAGTATCTCTAAGTCGGTCTCAACTCCATGTAACCACCTAATTTGCGGTCGGCATCTGCTTCCTCTTCCTATAGATATTCGTGTTGTTAGCTTTTTAGCAATCATGTTGTCAGGCATTAAGATTATCTGTCCGGCCCATCTAAGTCGTTGTGTTTTAATGAACGTTACATCTGGTTCATTAAAAAGTTGGTATAATTCGAAATTAAATTTTTTGCGCCACTGCCCTTGATCGTTTATACCCCCAAATATTTTGCGAAGTATCTTACGCTCGAATATTCCTAGAAGTCTTTTATCCTTCTGAGTTAGAGTCCATGTTTTTAGTTCTCAGTTGATATTTGTATACCAATATGCATTCACATGTGTATATTTGTAGTTAAGTTATGATCGAGAAAGTCACCATTTTGTGAGTCCAACTGGCAATTCACTTTATGTCACTACGCACCTATTTTACTATCTGATTTCTGCCGACGTGGTCAACCACTTTTTACTCTGGTTTATTAGAAAAGGAATTCCGACTGTGTATGACGTAATTTACTACCTGTCCCTTTGGAATTCTACATCTGTTTTTCTCTAGGTCTATGGCCCAGTCTTCGAAGGTCAACAAACTTTTACGTGAGTGCAATATTTCATATTGATAATGTTTTTTTGCTTCGAGACATTAGCTTTTATTATTAAATTTGCTTATTTTATTGACAATAAGTAACTTTTTTTTGAGTAAGTTTTTTTTTTTGAGAGTGTTACTAGATGTAACATTTAATTTAGTAACGTTAATTTTAGTATAAAAGAAACAATGGTCAATGGTATTCGTTCAGGTTTCAGTGAATTACTCATTTAATTATAATTTTTTATGTTGAGATATTAAAGTTTTATTGTAATTTGCGTATTGAGTTTATTTAAATAGTTGAGTTTACCGAAAGTATAAGGTGATTATAGCTGCAAATGCCAAACATGGAACAAAAAATTTCGGTTTGGCAGTGTAGGGAAATTTTTATACTGCATATATTGTATGCTTCAATGCTTCAAATATAAAGAGCGAAAGCTTTTAAAAAGTATATTTTGATTAGACTATTTTATGAATTTTGCAATTTTTAATTTATATTAATCAATAACGAGTAAATCTTTGTCTCCTTCGAAATTAATTGCAAACATCTGTGTCAATCTGGCAACTGCTGATAATAAACAAAATATGCAAAAGATTAATCGTCATTTTTTATTTATAAAAAATATATAAACAATGTAAAATCGCTATTTGATTTTAAATACTAAAGGCGAAGGCCGGAAAATTATATGAAAAAGTGACATAATTTTACTGAAAAAGCATAGAAAATCCTTTAAAATGGGAGTTTATTTTTAAAATGAAGTTATTTTTGTTAATTTGTTGCTAAATTATTGCAAAAATAGCTTCAAAAGTGGATTGAAGAATTGAAGATGACAATATCATAAATAATACTAATATTAGTTACTGCAAAATTGAAAATGTATATCTTAGAAAGCTTTTATCTACAACGTTATTATGCGTAAACTATTGGGTTTACATGAATTATGAAAGCAGCAAATTGAAGAGATTAAAATACCTCAGAGGCAT